GACATCGTTTTGTTGAATAGCATTTATTGCCGTTATGATTAAAAATGCAATTAATACAAATGTTATTTTGTTTGACGGTTTTAAGTTTCATTTCATTAGGCAATTGAAGAAACCTTTCGCATTTGTATAGACCATGCTCAGCAGAACAAAGAGGGCATTTAACTCCCGACACATGCATCGATTTCGTAATAGATCGATTCGCCTTGTAATTATCATATTTTCGATTATTTGTAAATGAAGTTGACGAACCGGTTTGCTGATGAGAGGACTGTAATTTTGATGGGACATCTTGACGTCGACGAGCTGATTCTAAGCTAGTAAATTTATTTTCTAAGAAATCTAAGAAGTCTTGTAGCACAGGTAGCTCTCTGGCGTTCTTTAACGACTCTATGTATTCGGAATAAGACTCACTATCTAGCTTGATTGATAAAATATGGACGAGCAGAGGGTCCCACGTTCTAATATCCACACCTAGGATTTTGATAGCGTGTATACTCTCTAATGTAACGTCATGTAATTTTTTAATAGCTGAAAATGATTGCTGCTGTATAGTGGGAAGATTCAAGAACACATTAACATGGGAAGTAAAAATGAGTTTCTTATTGTCAAATCTATGGTTTAGAATATCCCAACAGACAATATAATTTTCAGAGCTAATAGGCAAGTGCTGGATCAAACGCTCGGCTTCTCCTTTAACCTTACTTTTTAGGAATTGCATTTTCTGAGCGTTAGATAATGCTGTATTTTTGTGGATAGCTTCGCAAAAAAGGTCCTTGAATGACACCCACTGCTGATAATTGCCCGTGAAGACGGGAATTTCCATTTTTGGAGTTGATTTTTCACGATAGGACGTTGACCACATTTTAGAGTTGATAGATTTTTTCATCCTGTTGAAAGTTCGCTCGTGTTTGCTAAATTGGAAATCATAGTCCTTTACTAGCTCCTCACCTGACTCGCTAATGATTTCCCAGTGAAGGTTATCAATGGTGCTCCAACGGTTTTGGAGAGTTTGAAGAGCATCTTCGAACTCCCATTTGTCGACTAATGACTCAACATCAATATTGTCGACAGCTCTTACGAATGCCATAAAGTTAACCGATTGCTTATGAAGCATATCATCAAGCTTGCTGTTGGATCCTCTCGACTCAAACTTCGGAGGCGCGGATGCCATTGTGTTAGGCTCCGGCTGGCTCACTGAAGACCCCGCCACTCCTTGCTGTGCTGGTACTGAGTATGCTGATTGTTGACCCCGTTGACTCAACTCATTTTGATGTTGAAGGATCAGTCTTCTGGCTGTCATGTAAATTTCTTCTGTACGCTCAAATTCCGAGTTGACGAAGTACTTATGATTTGTTTTTTCAAAAGGAAGAATCTTCTCATGATTTAATTGGAATTCATCCCAATACTTCTCAAGTAGCTCGATTTTACGCTTACAATAGTCAAAAGTTTTACGCTCAACGCTATCCTTTTTAAAATTACTGAGAAGCTTCCCCAAACACTCCGAAATCTCGGATTGATTGAAATACAGAGTCTCCATCTCACTGCTGCTGCTAAAATAAGTAAAAGTGAACGATCTTACTTGAGAAAGTTCTGGTTGCTGTTAGCCCGACGAGGGTTGCTCCCCAAGTCAGTGATTCGCTGGTGTTGTTGTTGGTGTGAGGTGTTACTCGGTACGATGTAACGAGCACTTCAATCACTACACTGTTGCTAAAGTCGTTACCACTACAGTCACTGCTAAGCTAGCGAATACTGTAATCAATAGTTTCACAAGTTCGGTACAAGTTCACTTCACTGTCGTAAGTCCCGAAAAACTAAATAATCGACCGCAAAGTACTTGGATCCGGCTCGAAGGACCAAAATATAGGAGTCGCGACCGAAGTGATATAGACTTGTTATGCTGATAAATTAAATACTTAAATAACTTCAAAGATTTATTTCAAAAATCGATAAAATTACGCTAAATGAAATGCTAATGAGTACGACTGCACCCGGTTTGCTGTCCGAATATGTACTGAAGCCACGCTGCACTTAGCGTGTCGTGTTTGGGTTGCTAGATCAGCAAAACGTGTTCGATCGTGGATAATGTATCGAACAGTGAGTGTTATAATTCTACTCTACTCATTACAATGCGTGGCCTGCGCGCGCGCCGCGCTCGGGGAGGTGCCGCGGGACCTGCCCGTCAACACTGATGCACTGTGAGTGTTATAATTCTACTCTACTCATTACAATGCGTGGCCTGCGCGCGCGCCGCGCTCGGGGAGGTGCCGCGGGACCTGCCCGTCAACACTGATGCACTGTGAGTGTTATAATTCTACTCTACTCATTACAATGCGTGGCCTGCGCGCGCGCCGCGCTCGGGGAGGTGCCGCGGGACCTGCCCGTCAACACTGATGCACTGTGAGTGTTATAATTCTACTCTACTCATTACAATGCGTGGCCTGCGCGCGCGCCGCGCTCGGGGAGGTGCCGCGGGACCTGCCCGTCAACACTGATGCACTGTGAGTGTTATAATTCTACTCTACTCATTACAATGCGTGGCCTGCGCGCGCGCCGCGCTCGGGGAGGTGCCGCGGGACCTGCCCGTCAACACTGATGCACTGTGAGTGTTATAATTCTACTCTACTCATTACAATGCGTGGCCTGCGCGCGCGCCGCGCTCGGGGAGGTGCCGCGGGACCTGCCCGTCAACACTGATGCACTGTGAGTGTTATAATTCTACTCTACTCATTACAATGCGTGGCCTGCGCGCGCGCCGCGCTCGGGGAGGTGCCGCGGGACCTGCCCGTCAACACTGATGCACTGTGAGTGTTATAATTCTACTCTACTCATTACAATGCGTGGCCTGCGCGCGCGCCGCGCTCGGGGAGGTGCCGCGGGACCTGCCCGTCAACACTGATGCACTGTGAGTGTTATAATTCTACTCTACTCATTACAATGCGTGGCCTGCGCGCGCGCCGCGCTCGGGGAGGTGCCGCGGGACCTGCCCGTCAACACTGATGCACTGTGAGTGTTATAATTCTACTCTACTCATTAAATTACAATGCGTGACCTGCGCGCGCGCCGCGCTCGGGGAGGTGCCGCGGGACCTGCCCGTCAACACTGATGCACTGTGAGTGTTATAATTCTACTCTACTCATTACAATGCGTGGCCTGCGCGCGCGCCGCGCTCGGGGAGGTGCCGCGGGACCTGCCCGTCAACACTGATGCACTGTGAGTGTTATAATTCTACTCTACTCATTACAATGCGTGGCCTGCGCGCGCGCCGCGCTCGGGGAGGTGCCGCGGGACCTGCCCGTCAACACTGATGCACTGTGAGTGTTGTAATTCTACATTACAATTCTATAAATTACGTTTAAATACCCGACTCTAACCTTCTCCAAGTGAGAAGAGGCTTTTCTCAGCAGTGGGCATTTATAGAGGTAGGCTGTTGATGATGATAATGACCCAACGTCAGCCTCCATGTAATAAACCCTTTTTTGAAAACCGAATCAAAATCGGTTCAACCAATCGCGCCAAACATACATACTTACAAACACACACATACTTACAGGTCAAACTAAAAGTCTCCCTTTTTTGAAGTCGGTTTAAAAAACAGTCTAAAAGCAACTTTTTGAAGTCGATAAATATACTGAACCCTGCTCCTAGTGCACTAAACACTTCGCGGAGAACCTAACGGGTAACCGGGGCTCCGGCTCGACGTGCAGGAGAAGGAACGGGGTGGGTTTTAGTCAGTCTGACACTCCCTCCCGCCTCACCCAGACGGGAGCAGTCATTCGATGATTATCCCACCTTAACAAAAAAGTGTACCATACACTCTTCTGATAACCACATCAAAATTGGTTCAGCCAATCCCGAGATGATTGCGGATACATAATATTATTGTCATACTAAGATCCTCCTTTTTTGAAGTCGATTAAAAAGCTTTCTATGATTTTTATTTACCTTTAGAAATGCTTTTTTGCATAGTCGATAACTTAGTTGTTCAGAGTGATTTCCGTGCCAATGCTACGTCGAATCAGAAATCAAATTCCGAATCGTCGGCGCCATTTCCGAACCGATACGACCTTCAAACTTTCAAGAAAAGACCTTTTTAAAAGGCCGGCAACGCACCTGTGACTCTTCTGGTGTTGCGGGTGTCCATGGGCGGCGCTGATCGCTTACCATCAGATGGTCCGTCCGCTAGTTTACCGGATTATGCAATAAAAAAAATAAATAAATGGACTCTACAGAGTATTCCCCTAAAATTTCAATCTTATGCGCACAAACACATAATAAATCGGCCATTTTAATTTTCGGTCAGAATTGGACATTTAATTCTCTTTGCGAGTGCAGTGCGTCCAATGCAGGCTTGGCAGGGAGCCAGCCAGTGGCGCTATACAGATAATTGATCATGTGATCCGTCTGCTCGTTCACCTCTTAATCCATAAAAAAATTAAATTGTTCTTAACGCTTATCTTTATTTTGATTACAGATTGATGTCAGACAATAGCCTCGGTCAGATCAAGTCAGACGGTCTGTTCGGACGCCTGCCAGACCTCACTAAGCTGGACCTTCGAAATAATGGTAAGTAAGAGCTAAAAAGGTAATCAACGCTACTAGACTAGAATCCTTATGAAAATTACTGTCTCAGATCTCAGTTATGTTTTCGGCTTACTCACGTAATAATTCAAGCCCTGCTAGAGGCTCATATTCATAAGTAGCATTTGACACTAGTCGAGTTCCTCGTCAAATTATTACGTGAGTAAGCCGAAAACATAATAATTTATTTAGTATACCTCAGGAAAGTTGTTTTTACTGCACCCATAACACTGGAGACAATCCTAGTGTTTGGTCAGGTTTTGATTCTAAGAAGAATACTGCCAAAACCGATCGAATCGATAAATTAAGATCCCTAATTCCTAAACAGACCACAACCACAACGCATTTGTAACACTTCTGAAGGTAGGGGTCTACATGAAATCGCGGGACTGTGTCCAGCCACCGTAAGCACAGGCATGGGTAGGTCGCCGCCCGACCAGAACCAGACCCGAGCGTATGGAGTTCAAAGATTCATCAGACCACCACAAATGGGGCCCAACAGGGCTGATAACGAGCCCCGGAGGCCTTTTTTCGGGTTTCCGGCGCTCCTGGTTGAAGATCAGGAGTAGGAACGGGGTGGTTTTTTGTCAGTAAGAGTCTGACACTCCCTCCCGCCTCACCCAGACGGGAGCAGTCATTCGATGATTCTCCCTGCTCGAAAAAAAGAGGGTGTAACATGAACGGCGCTGCGCTCTCCATCTGCTTGTTTGCCGTTCAATATTAATTTAAAAAATGGCATTTCCTCTTTAATTCTAAAAAGAAACAAGTTATGCAGTTTCGTTCTTCTCTACTCTTTTAATTTCTAACCATTTTCTTCTTTACAGGCATTACTTTGATAGAAGACAATGCATTTGACGGTGCTGCCAACATCCAGGAGTTGCTGCTGGATGGGAACCTGCTGCAGACTGTCACCGATAAGATGTTCTTCGGGCTACATAGCTTGAGTGTGCTGTAAGTACTATATAGCTCTTTTTACTGGAAGGGTAGTCAGACACGTTACAATTTACGTTCATGATCCGTATCCGGCGTACGTGATATTACACACGAGCTTCAGTCTACCTGGTGGAACATTTAAGGAGTAGTAGCGTTCCCAGTCAGGCATTTCAGTCTGAGTCAGAAATCTTTAATTTTCATAGTTAAGTATCTTTCTTATTTTCGTTATACTTCATCATCATCAACAGTCTATAAATGCCCACTGCTGAGCAAAGCTTCTTCTCACACTGAGAAGGTTTGATCATTAAACACCACGCCTGCTCAATGCGGGTTGGCGATTACAAACTTATAATTAGAAATTATTAGCCCAGGTTTCCTCACGATGTTTTCCTTCACCGTTTGTCAGTGGTGTCTAGATAATCTTAGAAAGTACATATAACTCGGAAAAAGTCACATTGGTACTTGCCGTTGGTAGGTTTCGAACCCGCACCCTCATGCATGAGAAGCGGGCGTCTTAAACCTCCGGGCCACCACGACAT